GCATCCCTTTGATGCTAGTTTTAATCCTAAAGCATTCTACAAACTATCAAAGAATGACACACAAGCATTCACTCCCCAGAGCCTATATTTAACTCTGGATGGACTAATACAGCTTATATTTACAGCTATAAATATATATATACAGCTTATATTTCAGCTATAAATCCACAACAGCCTTATTTCTGATTCCTGCTGTCACTTGCTCATGATGTTAGAGGTTGACAACTTAGTACATCTTTACTAAATATCATTATTCATACTTTCTTGTGGTCAGCACAACTAGAAAATCCATTGAAAATCAACATTACAGCTTTTCAAGCACCAAGTTAGTACTGCTGCACTGCTTAAAGAGAATAGGTTCAATTATTCCTGCTTTGTGTTGCCACATGTCAAAAAATTCAGCTCCAGAAACAGCTAAGTGCATATGTATGATAGCTCCAAGCCATCCATTATGTAAATGCAATGTACATAAACCAGCCCTTTCAGCATCATCAGCATCTAGTAGGACAACATGAAAACCAGCTAGGCCAGATAGAAATCAGCCAGCTGGCAATCTGACTTCCATTCACACTCCAATTGCATTTCCCCTTAGCCTTAGACCTGGCAGGTGAGTAACACTTTATGTTCTGTTGTCATATTCTTATGGAGTGAGAAATATGTCTTAACTTTGTAAAAAGTCATTGCCCACTGTAATGCTAACACAGGACTAGAGCAATCTTCTTTCCTTTGCAAGTGAAACAGCATAAGTTCAAGCAACAGGATATCACCTTGTGGTGATTATGTGCTATGTAATTTAGACATACGTGCAACAATACATAGGGCAAATGTGCAAATGCACAATACCATGCCAAACAAGGGAATGTTTATAAATTTTTCTCACCCTGCAGAGAAATGTAGTCTCAATTCTATTGTCGAGTGCACCATTTTATGTACAGAAACGAGCGTAACTTTCAAAAAGATACTCAGGAGATTTCTGCTATTGCAAAAAATAAGGAGGTATATAGTAATAAGGTGCTTTTGGGACAGTAATGAATAGTAAATGAGAATTATTAAAAGTTTAGTTTCATTTGACCGTGTCACCCCAGAGAAGCCAGACCTTTCAAAAGGATTCTGGAGGAGGGGAAAGGAAGGTGTCAAGTGTGGGACAAAACCAGATTTTTTCTCTGTTTGAAAATGTGGATTTATTTCGTAAGCTGTGGCAGCCTGTTAGCAAAAGGAAGAGCTCTGGGAATATGAAAATACCATCCCTCAGTCTGCTCACTTATTTTTCCTTACTTTGTGAGTTAAAAATAAATATGTAAATATAAACCATGAGTATAAAAATGTTTCCATCAGGCATTGAGTATTTATCACTCATTAAACATTTTCTGAACCAGGCTTTTCATGTGTATGCCTTAAAAACTGGAAAGACCTTGGGCTTCCTTGTTGAATTTGGAACATTTTTTCAATAAAGTTTGTTATCGTTGTTGTTTTTTAATAATGCATTTGATTCCTTTTACATAGGTTGCTCTGTCAGAGACCATCATATGTGAAAACAGCTGAATAACAAAGGCTTGTGTTACGAAAGAGATGAATTATTCTGGCAGTATACATGCTGAATGACGTATCACATGATTCCAGCTGCGTGTTGCAGTTGGTTGTTGGTAGGTAGAAGGAATGACTCAGCAAGAAACAATGAATTTATAATCAGAAGTGGTTGTATTGCAGTTATCAGTAACTCTACAGTATGTAAGTCTAGTTCAGAAATTTTTTTTCAGGTGGGGAATTAGCTCAAATGGTAGAGCGCTCGCTTAGCATGTGAGAGGTAGCGGGATCGATGCCCGCATTCTCCAGTGTTTGTTTTCACTGCTTATTCATTGTGAAAAAAAAGCAGTGAAAATGTTTCCTATTTGTGCCATTATACGAGAAAAAATAAATGTGAAAAACTTGGGTGAACTGCAAACTGTTCATATGTTGCTGTCAGTATTTTGTTTTTTGCTTTTCCTAATGATGTGGCTTTCTTTTGTATATTCATATAATCCTGATATGAAATAACAAAACACTGACATTTTAATACAGTGGTAAACAACATGAACGAATTACAGAGAAAAATAAATTAGGGATTTTTAATGTCCCTTGATAACTTGGTTCATGATTTCATTATGTATTTGATGACTGAATTAATTATTAAATTTATTTTTTATATTACAGTTTAGTGTATGAAACAAAGTTGGTATCTGTGCTGTGAGGAATACTTTTTTTTGTTGTTGTTGTGTAAGCTATTCATTAGAAAGAATGAGCTACAGTCTTCCATATGTTGTTTCTCTTAGCAAGATAATGTCCTTTCCTTTTGAAGCTTCACATCTGTGCAATATCATGGACATTTTCTCTGTAAATAATGCTGCACATCTTATGTCATTTTGAGATATTTTTAATTCTGATGTGATTTTCTGACTCGCTGATTCAGCTTTTTCACTGCTTGTACTCCAAGCATGAGGCAGTGTGAGGAACCAGAGCAAAACTTTCCTGTAAATATAGACAATTTGTGCAATCAGAATCTTGGGAGGATGCACACTGAAATGAATGAAAATAAGGAAACAGAATTATGAATTGGGTTTCAGTTTAAGGAAGGGGGAAATACTGTGCTATGTGGATGTTCAGGAGACAAGAGAAGAAAGAACTTAACTTCTCCATGGATGGAATAGAAACAGAATTTGCTTATTTGTCTTATATTCTCTACATAGTGGAGTGAAAAGACACATTGTAACTTTAAAACTGCTAGATCATTGTAGTTCAAATGAGGTTCACCAGAGAGAAAAGACTTATGATCTTCTGAGCTCAGGTAATGATTTACATGTACATTTGCTTGGAATAAGATTCTGTAGTAGTTTTCTATATGATTATTATTGCTTCTGAGTTTGCTGTGTTCCCATGATTGTGTAATACCTGATGCTTCCTCTGCTTTTAAAAAGGATGAATAATATTGCTCTTTTCAGCTAATCAGACACAACTTGTGCAACAATGAAATGAGAAAATTTGGTGAGGCAGGTGCAGTTTGCAGTCACTTGTAGAATGCTGGTATCTAACTGTAAATTCTTCAGACTAATTACTGCTCATTATATTTATGTGCAGTTCCCTATAATGGAGCTTTGGTGTCTGTTGGAGCTTGTAAAAGCACTGCAATATGACTAGAAGTAACAGCTTTTTCTTAGCCCATGTGGTGTTTTATGTCTTTATTTTTTAGATATAGTGTCTTTTGAAGAGCATGCTGGATAGAGAAGGTTAAGAGTCCTAGCTCCCCAAAGCACTACTCATGGGAGTATTTGCACTTTCTGCATCAGTAGTTTTATTTATATATTCTGTATAAAGAAATGAGGGAATTGAGCTTTGTTTGATTTGTGTTTTATTGCCATTCATGCAGATTTATATCCTCTATAATATCTCACTTAAAGTTACACAAGTTAATCATTCATTTAGTTAAAAATAACGTTTGCAGTAGACTCGCTCTAAGATACAGTTATCATATGTCTGTGTTTGCTGCAGACTGAGAAAAGGGGAAATATTATTCTTTATTTGTCTTCTCCCCAGACCTTGTTCCAAATATTACTTAAACAGTCATCCCTGGGGATGGGATGGAGCCTGGAGGACCATTACTCTGGCAATTCTGGAGACTATTTTTAGAGCAAGAGAGCTGACTGTAGAAGCTGCGTGCAAAAATATACACAGTATAAATAAGTTTATTTCACAACGTGATTGTAGTACAATTAATTTTCTGAGTTGAGCACCAGGTCTAAGTTTTCTTATAAGATATGTTATGTGGTGTTTAACTATGAAGTTCATAAAAGGCTTTTGTTCTATCGGTTACCATTAGCCATCAATCAAGTTCTAAGCACAGAATCATAGAATCGTTTGAGTTGGAAGGGACCCTTAAAGGCCATCTAGTACAACTCCCCTGCAATGAACAGAGATATCTGCAGGTAGATCAGGTTGCTAAGTTTAGTTCAGTCTGATCTTGAATGTCTCCAAGAATGGGGCTAGTGTTCAGGCTTTTTTTTTTTTAATTCTGCAAAAGTAAAATAATACATTTTATCCCAGTAAACTTACGTCAACATTCAAAGAGTGAAACAGGACAGCTGTTAGAGTCACTCAGCATAAAGGTGCATTTCTCTACTGGCAAACTTATGCCATTTCTTCCTCCTGTGACCTGTTTTTTCTTTACTTCCTGCGGTTGCAATTAGCATTGAAATATTTTGTTGCCAGTAACCATGTGTCCTACATCAAGTCAGCAGGTGTAGATGGACAGTGGAGTCCTGTGTGTGCTTCCAGAGTTACTGAGAGCAAGTTGCTTTGGGTTGGAAGGCTTGCTGCCCTATTAGCATAGTGTCTAAGGCGACACACAGGTGTATTATTGACTGTTAGCATAGGATCACCTGAAAAAGTAAATCCTTCAGAAAAACAAATGGGCTGAGTCTTGATCGGAAAGATAAGGAGAAGGACACTTCACACTGTATTTTCTTCCATTCCAGGCCATGGTATTTTGTAGTGATGTTATAATAAAGGAGAAAAATCTTCAACTAGTGTGACTTTGTGTGTGTGTGTGTTCATATTGTTTGCTGTCCTTGGAAAGCTCACTTCTAATTCTGTCACCGTAAGCACTGAAAGCGCTGCTCATTCCCGTTAGAGAAACCTGGTCAGAATTAGCAGCTTTGTAAAAAGAAGTAGAAATCAACAGAAGAACTGACAGCTCGAGCAGATGCAACGTTTTGTATACGCGCAGACAGCAGCCTCGATGTTTCTTCTTGGCTCCCTCTATGCCTACCACAACCCGCTGCCGCAGCAGCCCCGCACCGCCACGCCTCTCACCCCGCCCCCTATATTTGCCCACTCTCCCGCCCCTCGGAGCAGACGGCTGCTGTGCCGGAAGTGACGTAGTGCGTCTGCCGGAAGTGACGCGCGTGGCGTGCAGGCCCGGCCCGGCGCGGGGGGGTTTGGACAAGATGGCTGGCTCCACAGGTCTGTGAGGGGGCTTGGCGGGCCTGGGGCTGCTGCGGGGAGCTGGGTGTTGTGCACGGGGGTGGGGACTCCCCATGAGGGCCGGACGGATCTCCTTTCTCGGGGACGGGGCGAGCTGTCAGTGACGGGAGCGAGTGGAGCGGGGTGGAGGTCTCTTCCGATGGGGAGAAAGGGAAGCGGCAGCACCGCCGGGCTGTGCTCGGCCCCGGGGACGGTCCCTCCCCTCTGTAGGGCTGTGACGCCGCCGTGAGAGCCTGACCTGGGGCGTCAGCGGGGAGAGAAAGTACCCCGATTCTGGGAATCGGTATGGTGGGGTGGAGAAGACTGTGCTAAGAGGCAGGAAGGGGTGGATGTGTGTGCGTGTAGAGAATGGAGGGGATGTTGCCAAGCCTGGTAAAAAAAAAAAAAAAAAATAATAAAATGCTGCAGGATAAGGGCTTGTAGCAAGGATCTGTGCTGCTGCACCATCTGCTGTGTACAGCAGTTGTGGTATAGCATCTTTCCAAAGTGAAGGTAGTGTCTTTTTGCTCTTTCTGCAAGAGGACAGAGGTCCGGCCTGTGCTGTGCATTGGAGGAAAAGTACTGCAGTTGATTGGTGACTGCAGTGTGCTGGGGATAAGGAGTGAAGCATCTTGTTCTCTGCCATTGGGCAGCTAGTTTATCGTGTGGGCAAATGGAAAGGCAAAGAGCTGTGAGGTGTAACTTGGGAGCACGAGAGAATGAATCCTGTATCAGTAATCAGTATAGAATCTGTTGAGTGGAATGCCATGGTAGCAGGTAGTAAATTAGTAGGCAAGAATATTTCTTCAAGTCATGAATGGAAAAATTTAAGAAGCATAGGTATATCATCTCAGTTTTGTTTCATGAAGGACTTGAAAAATAAAATCTTTTTCTGCTGTAAAAAGCAGAGAGTTACAGGGCCTCTTTCATTCTTTTCTCACTCCTGAGAGCTTATAAGAAGTAAATGGGATTGGCAGAGCTCAGGACAGAGGAATAAATTGACCTCAGTGCTCACTCTTGGGTGCACATCGGCCAGGTTGATTCATTTCTGTTCCCAATCCACTGGCTCATCAAAGGATTGAGACTATAACAAAGCAGAACAACAAAAAAAAAAAAACAAAAAAAAACCCCACCTTTTATTTTGGTACTTTACTGTTGATCCTGCAAACAGTGTGTTTTTTATGGTAAGAGAACATTCTCTCTACTTGGTAATGTGACTTTGGAGAGGTGGGATGCATAGAGTCCAATTTGGAAAGATTACAACAAATAGGACACAGAGCAGCTCTTGCAAGTCCAAAGAGCAATCCAAAAAAGAAATATTATTATTGCCTATGTTAGGCTGAGCTGGAATAGATATGTTAGAGATCAGTATTTACTCAGCTACGGATTATTGCATTTTATTTTTTTAAACTGAATTAGCATAATATCTGATGTCAAAGTTTTAAAAAATTTATTAATCGTTTTACTATGAAATAACTTCCAAAGACCTCTGCTTGTGCCTGGACTCTGACATGGGATTTCCTGATATGCACAGGAAATACAGTTGTTTTAGGACATGTGCTTTGAGTGTTGGTATTGTGTGTATCAGTACATTCAGTCAGGCTATTGTAGAGTATCTGTTACTAAAAATTTGTATATCAAAAAAAGCAGTATTCTTCCTATAGTGTATTTGACTACATAAAAAGCAGTAATCTTTAAACAAAATTCCCATGGTTTTACCGTTATAAGTATCCTTTATAATCTTTCATGTGATATATCTTAAGAGCTTCTATATACTTTGTATAGTGCAACTGAATAGTGCAGTGGTTTTTGTCTCAGAAATACAGCCACACATAAAGTTCCCCAAAAGTGGAAAATATACAGAATTATACATTCATCTGTCCCAAACAACAAAGTCATTTTAGTAAAACAAAGCAAACCCTCTTTAACAGAACTGCTAGGAATATTTAGTCATAATTCTGGAGGAAAATGCATATTGCAGTGGGGAAAATGCTTTTGGCTTTTTATTTACATATGCACAGATTGGAGATAGGATTTTTTTTGTTGTTGTTGTGCTTTCCCTGTAGTAGGCAGAAATTTTAAGATTTCACACAGGCCAGCTCTTAGCAGGAAGCTATGTTAAGCTCATTTATGGAAGAAAGGAGGGAGTGATTTATTATAAACATGAGATTTACCTCTACCTGTGTGAATTTCATCTGCTCTTGCTGTAATGTTCAGCTTCATCCTTATTTATTTCAGAAAAATGAATGTTTTGGTTGTGTGAAATCCAGTAATGAAATTGTAACACCAAGGAAAATCAACAAAACTTACTAAGCTCAACTGTCTCAGTTTTATTCCAGAAATTCCTTTAATGAGATCGCTAATTCTTTGAACAATCATTTAAAAAATAATAAGAAGAATGCCTTTTAAGAACAAATAACCTAATTTGAAAGTAGTTTTTCTTTAGTGTGTGCTGAAGAAAATGTGTATGTTAGACATTTCGCAGCTACACAGTGCTTACTTGCTTTTAGAAATCATCTATATTAACTAACTTTACGTGTAAATATTTAATGTCTTAGTGGCTGACATTCCTAAGATAATTTTGATTAATCCTGCAATATGCCAGCTGCTGCTTGTAGCTGGACCTGAGTTGTTTGTGTGGGTGCTGCTGGAGAAATGGGGAAGAACAAATCAATTTTTTTTTCAAAAAGAAGAACAACTGTTGTTGATATGATGTACCAGTTCCAAGTGGTTTAGCTGGAGATTCATTTTGTGATGTTTTGAAAACATAGAGCACAAGATGTGACTGAACATAGCTTCAGATTAAAAAAAAAGAAAAAAAATTTAGCAAAGCATGCCATTTGAAATCTCATGTGTAACTCTAGAAAAAGAAACTGGTCAGCGACATAATTTGAAGGAGTTAATTCAGGAGTTAATTTTTGCACTTCAAGACAAGATCAAGACTGTAGTGTCTAAAACTGGATTGCTGAAGTCTTCCATCTCCTTGCTCTTTGACTGAGGATATGTAGTAGCTTGTATTAGAATAGGGCTAAATCAGTGAAAACTCCCTTTGGTTTCCTGAAATGTCTTAGATTAAAAATAAAAAAAAAAAAGTGTATATAGAATCAGCTGATCTACGGTCAGAAATTATAGGTGAGTTTCACAATTTTTTTTCTTACATGTAGGCACAAACAACCTCTTTGCAAAGAGTGCTAAATGGCTTCAAAGAAGCACAGCTAGATCCTGAAGAAATGTTGTTTCTATAAAATCCACACTTCTCATTTCTACTCACTTAATAGTCTGATCTTTAAAGATGAATTGGCTACTTTGTGTGACTGGTGTTTCATGTGTGAGGAGAATTTTCTTTCTGAATTTATATATGATTGATTCTGATTAGAAATGACACCGTGCTCAATGTCAGGGCCTTGTTTTCTTAAGTTTGGTGTTTACTTCTATCTAAACTTTTAGATCTCGTTAAAGCAAGTCTAAGTGTATGTGAGTACAGCTATAAGGAAGCTGATGCTGAAAATGAAGGGCTGGAAATGGTCTGACTCCCCAGGCTGTGAAGCAAGGACTGGCAATAGCTTTCCTGGTGGTTTGTGTGTGGTTTTTTTGTTCTGTTTGTAAAGCTATTTTCCCTAAAAGTCTTCCACTGAAGATGATTCTATAATGTGGGGTAATTTCTCAGCACTTTCCTTTATATTTTTTACAATTCTTCTCTGGTCAAGATCAAATTGATGTCTGCCTGTTCTGTGCTTAGTAGGATAGAGATTAGTGACCTATCATACCTTGTTTGGAGGCTGCTAGATATTGTGAGCCCTTTAAAGGAATAATAAATTAATTTATTCATTAGTGGGATGTTGAAATAATGTTTTGAAGACTTATTTTTTTTTTTTCACATGAGAAATGGTACAATTTAAGCTTTGTATCTAGAAAACTTTATATTAAACTTGACCTGGCTGGGTTTCTACTTTCCTTTGAACTATTTGGGTACCTATTTCCTTCCTCTTCCTTATGGGAGAAATAGTTCTCCTAATACGTTTTACCTTCAAGGCTTTATTACTTCTCCTCCTTTTCTGTATTATACCTCTGTGACATTATTAATCACTTACCCTCGATTTATTCAAGAAGCCAGTTAATAGCAGTTCAGAGTTTTACACTACTTATAAATGTTTGTTCTTGCATTTACAATGTAGCTGTGTAAAGCAGAGAACTCTTGAAGCTGTAAGTAATCAGAGAAAACAAAAGGAATAGAATGCTGTGTTCTGTGTGGCAGCACTCTGGGGGGTGTTTTTCCATCCTGTCCTATGCACAAGGAAACTGGAATTGTTCTGCCTGCTTTAAAGTGTCGTGGCAAGCCGCAAATTAATTCGCATGTGTTTCAGCTGGATTGAAAAGTATCTTGCTTACAAACGGCTTCTGAACTATATATAGACCATCAGTACTTTCTGACTGTGACATACATAGGCAGGACACTCGGTATCTTCTCAGAACTTTGCCCTTACCATATTCCTCTCTTTGTTGCTGGTATTTCAAAGTTTGGTCTTTAAATGTAAGCTCCAACATACATCCACAGTGGCTATGTAAGGATATGCTGAGAGGCTAAGCGCTTTCCTTAAAGCATTACAAAGCAGGCCACTTATTTTAAAATTTGTTTCAAATTCAAGGGTGTTATCAAACTTAGTATGGAAGCCCATTACTTAAATTGTTGCATTCAATTCCAGATAATACTAGTCTGGATGAAGAGGCAAGACGCCTTTTCAGGAATAGCTGTCTTTCAGTGTTTGGAGACAGATTGGCTATATTATAAATTTAAGGCTTCTCCCATGAGAAGGCTTCTAATGTGTGGGAACAGAATTGCCAAACCTTATGAGTAATCAGTGGAGTTGAGGTACATATACACGTTCATTACTTTGTGTGTTTTGCCTTTCTGAAGATTTTTCCTAAAGCAACATAAGTACGTGCTGTGAAACTGTTCAACTGTTGACAGACTCTTCCTCCTCTCTCTCTCTCCATCTACTGTTGCGTGCGTTTTCCTAGACAATAGCTTGTTCTTCATCCTGACCAAAACTTGATCTCAAGTAGCCAATCAGCTTCAGCTCTCATGTCCCATAGGTTTTGTTGCCTTGCTGTCTCAGCTAGCTGGTGGGAACCTCAGCATGGGTTGTGTAAAGACAAGATGCTGCTAGAGAAGGCATTCATAACCATTTTAAGCTATTCTCAGAAGGGTTTTGCTATATACTGCTCTGTCCAAAAGAATGTTTTTCTTTGTTTGACATTTGAAAGGCACTAATGAGATGTAATACAAACAATATTTTGAATAAAATCAGTACATCGCTACAAAAGCTTAGGATTGTCAAGCTGTCAGGCTGGTTCTGAATTAGATGAGCTTTCACTTTACAACCTTTTCAAGTAGGTCTGGTGCCTTGAGTACGTGACTGAAGATCGCTTGCAGTTAGCATTTGGAAACAAATGGAACCTTCAATGGAAACCTAAAACCTCAGAGCTCCATTAATCCTTTATTTCAGAAGAATCAGTAGCTTCAACTGTATTAGGGAGGAAAAAAATCAGGAAAATAGCTTCTAACACTTAGGCTCAATAACTGCTTAAAAAAAATCACCTCCTTTCATTGCATATGTGGCTGTTCTTAACTGGGTAGCTAAGTGAATTTGAAATGTGCTTGAGTAAATAATAAACATTTTTTGCAGTTTATATAAAAACAGTGTGCTTTATTGAGTACAGTCTTAGTGAAGTGTCCAGTATTACTCATCTTACTTAGAACTTTTTTTCAAGGTAAA